TTTCTTCTTAGCATTCTGTATTTAAAGTGCCTCCATGTCTTGTCATGGCCTGATAGCTCATTTCATTTATCACTGAATCATATTCTCTTGTGCAGATATACCACAGTTTGTTTAGCTATTCACTTACTGAGGGACATTTTGGTTACTTTCAGTTTTTGATAAGTATGGGTAAAACTGTTGTAAATACTTGGATGCAAGTTTTTGAGTGAACGTGTTTTCACTTTGCTTTGGTAAGTATCTAAAACTGCTATTTTCAGGATTATATGGCAAGGCTGTGTTTAGCTTTTTATTTTATTTGTTTAAAAAAGAACTTGCGAAACTGTTTTCCAAAGTGACTAGCGTTTTGCATTTCCACTAGCAGTGACTGAGAGTGCCCGTTGCTCTGCGTCTTTGACAGCCTGGGGTATTGTCCCTTGTTTGGATTTGAGCCTTCCTGTTAGGTGTATATTATAGTGTAGTGGCATCTCATTGGTTTAATATGCAATTTCCTAGAGACACATGGTTTTGAGCATCTTTTTCATATGCTTATTTGCCATCCATATATCTTTTCTGGTGAAGTATCCAGATCTTCTGTCCATTTCTAAATTGGGTTTTTTCCTTTTTTATTATTGAGTTTTAAGAGTCCTTTATATATTTTAGACAATAGTCTTTCATCAGATCTGTATTTTGCCATTTTTTTTCCCAGTCTATCACTTGCTTATTCATTTTCTTAACAATGTCTTTCACAGAGCAGAAGTTTTAAATTTTTATGAAGTTCAACTTATTAATTTTTTCTTTCCTGGATTGTGCTTTTGGCATTGTATATGAGAAGCCATCACCAATCCCAAAGTCCCGCAGATTTTCCCCTATGTGATCATCTACACGCTGGAATCCCAGAGCTGTGGGAACAGGTAGAAGAAAGAAAGTCAGCAGGTTTAGGGGATGAGAATAATCCACAAAGGACAAGCCATCGGTAAATGAAAACCAAAGAAGGTGAGAATAAGGACAAACCAGGAGAGAAGCCTCAGGGGAAATGGGCAATGCTATGATCATTTAAACCCTCAAGGAGCAGCGTGAGCTGAGCAGTGGGGACTGAGAGAAACCGACTCGACAGGAATCTCCTGCGTCTGGCCAGGGAGAGCCACAGGTTAGATCAGAGCTGGTTTGTATTGAGGGGCAGCTTCAACTCCAAGAAAGGGTCAGAGATTTGTAATCAGTTTTATTCAGTCACGGATGAACACTCCCCAGACCCAGGAGACCCAACATCGGTGCTGCCGTAGCAGTGGATGCTCTTCAGGTCAGCGTGGGTTAGAGGGAATAATCATGCTTGGAGAAGGGTTGGAGACGTCCATTCTTACATTAAACTGCTCTGCCCTAGGTCAGGTGCCAGAGTAAGTGTCCCTTGCTTGATTATGAAGCAGAGATACTAATAATATTCCTCTGCACTTTCAGTTGAGGGAAGTTTCTCATAAATATTTATTGAGCATGTAATTTTCTTTATATGTGCTAAGCACTTGGGATTCAGGTAATTAATGTCTCTCTAAAGAATCTCAAGGCAGTGAGTGGAAGAACACAAACAGATCATTTCTGCTTTGAATAGAAATTCACTTTACCTCTCTTTGCATGGCAATGGGGCCAATCTTCCCTAAGCTACCCCTTACAAGAAAAGGAATCATACTAGTAAGAATTCAGACTTCAGCAAACATGGATAAGTAAGGAAGTCTTATAAATGTGTTCTAGCCACCTAGCAAGAAACCAGGAATTTAGCAAGTTCGTTCACATTCAGGACAGTTGTGTTCACTAGATCAGAGGCCCTGAGACATGAAGAACAGACCCCCTAACAAGGGAAAGTGTTTCTTCCTGTCCTAGGACATCACTGCCAACTTCAGGGAAGCAGGAACACAGCTGCCCGCTTTACAGTATGGACTGCTTTTGTGCCTGGAATGTGTCTGATTTGTGTTTGAATGTCCCTGTACCCATTTCAGGGAGCCTTCGGAGGAGTCTGAATCACTGATGGAATTGGACAGTGCATGGAGATGGTTGAGCAGGACGAGGGTAAGTGCAGGGGCATGGCCAGGTCATACTGGGAGACAGTGAGCGGCCCCGATGGAGACAGACAAAGATAAAGTCAAAAGTGTGTGCTTCAGTGTCAAAAACTCAAACCAATAACTAATTTGCTTTTATAAGTAATAAGTATTTTTCTATTTACATGAGGATTTAATCTCAAACAGAAATGATAGAAACAGTAAGTCCAGGGCATAAAACCTAAACCATAGCTCATATTTATTCTTCCTAAATAGAGATATTAGCAAAATCTTCATAAAACATGTATTGTGGATATAAGAAGGCAAAAGTCGGCCAGGTGCGGTGGCTCATGCCTGTAGTCCCAGCACTTTGGGACACCGAGACGGGCGGATGAGAAGGAGGGGTGACTGACTTCATGACTAGCATTAAGAAAATATCACATGTTGGGAAACTGTTTCTGCCTTGATGATTTTATACACATAAGAGATGAAAAGTGAGGCACGTGCTTAGATATACTGGGACTGAGATGGGACTGTGGCATTGTCACAAGTGTACACGAATACTGAGAGTGACTGATAGAGGAATGGTCCCCAACGGTTGTGACCTCAGGTAAGACCAAAGGCCTGTGTTTTAGCAAACCCTGGGCAATTGGAATGAAGTGCTCTCAAGATTCCATGACACGCCCAGCTTCTAATTCTGTTATTGCAACAGCAGGCCGTTACCTGGGACTCTGGCCACTGTCTCCCACACTCTTGTCAGAGTCTGAGCTACAGGCAGCACCTTCAGCTCCCAGCTGAAGCATTGCGATCCTTGTTTTTGTGGTTAAGGACCCTAAAGTGCTGTGAGGATCAAGTTTTTCTCAACAGTAAGTTAAGAATTTGAGTTATTGACATCCCCCAGTCCTGATTAAACCTATTTGATTTCCAGTTTTTAACCCATCATGTGTTTGGGTTTCTTCTCCCCAGTCCCTGGCTCAACCTGTGGTGCCCCAAATATCAGCATGGCAGCATCTGGCAGGACGTGTTCCACGAAAACCACAGAGGTGAACTTTCCACATACTATCGACAATTCCTACTCCCGGCAGGAAGAGACCAAACCGAATTTCGGAGCCAGCAAAAATAGACTTCTTCTGAGCCAGGTGGCCTACTTCCTGAACTACCAGCTGAAGACATACAGTAAGTTCTATAGGTTGACCACCACGAAACTGATGAATGAGGTCCTGTCTTGTCTAGAGAAACTAACCAGTCTCTACATCAAAATTAATTTCATCCTTCCCATACTTGTAGAAAATAGAAATCGGTATTTTAACATTTTGTTAAAGATGGAAGACAGATGCCAAAGTGTTTAGCAACTTTTCCACATCTGCAGTAAGGTGGCTGTGGGACTGGGGTTACAATCCCACCTATTGATTTCTGACACAGGCAGAGAACCACCTGTTTTTCTCAGCAGGAGGCTAAATCCATGTTTACAGAAATCCTCTCTGTACCGTATAAGATCCTGCAGACAAGTAGCATCCAGTCTGTTGGTCTAAATGCCTGAGGCTACTGAACTTCCATTTGGTTCTGGTTTTCTGAGGCCCAGTAGGCAAAGCTGTGTTCTGGGGACACTATGGAAACACGTGATAGCGCACAATTCCCACTGTGGGGAGCTTAAAGGGGACCCTGCTCCTAATAGGACCTGTGGTATGTGTAAGTGGCACCATCAAGAGCAGGAAGTACCCTGGTACTGGTGCCTAAGCCTCCCAATTAGCTGGGATCCCCGGTGGGCACCACAACACTTGGCTAATTTTTGTATATTTAGTAGAGGCAGGGTTTCACCATGTTGGCCAGGCTGGTCTTGAATTCTGAGGTCAAGTGATCAGCCCACTTGGGCCTCCTAAAGTGCTGGGATTCTAGGCATGAGCCACCATGCCTGCTTCACAGATTTTTTTTAAGGTTGTTAGAATTCATCCATCGGCCCAGTCGCCTATATAAATTTCTCTAACCATTCATTGACCATGACATATGATGAAATAAATCAATATTGCCGCAACGCTTCTGGAAAATAGGGCAATTTTTGGAAGACTTTGGGGAAAAAGTTTTAATTTGATCAGAGGATATGTGATTAAGAGTTTGTCCCATGCATCTGAAAAGCAGGCTCATCTACTTCTAGGGCGACTTAGTCTAGGGCCCGGTAGAACATTCCCATCATAATATCACGTTCCTACACTCAGAATGTTTTACATCCTTGTGCTATGACTGGACACTGATTTGGTCTTGTGTGAAGTGTGATTTGCTTAATATGACCTGCTC